CATGGACAAAAGTTATCCTCAAACTTTAAAAACTCTATCAACAATGAGCATAAACTGTGTCCACAATAATCATAGAAAAATAGCTGAAAGAGTGGACTATGGTTTTCTCTGGGTATATGCCCAGTAGTGGGATGGCTGGGTCATGTGGTAATTTGATTTTTAGTTTTGTAAGGAACCTCCATACTGTTCTCCGTAGTGGCTGTATCAATTTACATTCCCACCAACAGTGCAAGAGGGTTCCCTTTCCTCCACACCCTCTCCAGCATTTATTGTTTGTAGATTTTCTGATGATGCCCATTCTAACTGGTGTGAGGTGATACCTCATTGTAGTTTTGATTTGCATTTCTCTAATAATTAGTGATGTTGAGCAGCTTTTCATGTGCTTCTTGGCCATCTGTATGTCTTTGGAGAAATGTCTATTTAGGTCTTCTGCCCAGTTTTTGATTGGGTTGTTTGTTTTTTTAATATTGAGCTGCATGAGCTGTTTATATATTTTGGAGATTAATCCTTTGTCCGTTGATTCGTTTGCAAATATTTTCTCCAATTCTGAGGGTTGTCTTTTCATCTTGTTTATGGTTTCCTTTGCTGTGCAAAAACTTTTAAGTTTCATTAGGTCCCATTTGTTTATTTTTGTTCTTATTTCCATTACTCTAGGAGGTGGATCAAAAAAGATCTTGTGGGCTTCCCTGGTGGCGCAGTGGTTGAGAATCCGCCTGCCGATGCAGGGGACACGGGTTCATGCCCCAGTCCGGAAGATCCCACATGCCGTGGAGCGGCTGGGCCCGTGAGCCATGGCCGCTGAGCCTGCGCGTCCAGAGCCTGTGCTCCGCAACGGGTGAGGCCACAACAGTGAGATGCCCGCGTACTGCAAAAAAAAAAAGATCTTGCTGTGATTAAGAGTGTTCTTCCTATGTTTTCCTCTAAGAGTTTTATAGTGTCCAGTCTTACATTTAGGTCTCTAATCCATTTTGAGTTTATTTTTGTGTATGGTGTTATAGAGTGTTCTAATTTCATTCTTTTACATGTAGCTGTCCAGTTTTCCCAGCACCACTTATTGAAGAGATTGTCTTTTCTTCATTGTATATCCTTGCCTCCTTTGTCATAGATTAGTTGACCACAGGTGCATGGGTTTATCTCTGGGCTTTCTATCCTGTTCCATTGATCTATATTTCTGTTTTTGTGCCAGTACCATATTGTCTTGATTACTGTAGCTTTGTAGTATAGTCTGAAGTCAGGAAGTCTGATTCCTCCAGCTCTGTTTTTTTCCCTCAAGACCACTTTGGCTATTTGGGGGTTTTGTGTCTCCATACAAATTTTAAGATTTTTTGTTCTAGTTCTGTAAAAAATGCCATTGGTAATTTGATAGGGATTGCATTGAATCTATAGGTTGCTTTGGGTAGTATAGTCATTTTCACAATATTGATTCTTCCAATCCAAGAACATGGTATGTATCTCTCCATCTGTTTGTATCATCTTTAATTACTTTCATCAGCGTCTTATAGTTTTCTGCATACAGGTCTTCTGTCTCCCTAGGTAGGTTTATTCCTAGGTATTTTATTCTTTTTGTTGCAGTGGTAAATGGGAGTGTTTCCTTAATTTCTCTTTCAGATTTTTCATCATTAGTGTATAGGATTGCAGGAGATTTCTGTGCACTAATTTTGTATCCTGCAACTTTACCAAATTCGTTGATTAGCTCTAGTAGTCTTATGGTGGCATCTTTAGGATTCTCTATGTATAGTATCATGCCATCTGCAAACAGTGACAGTTTTACTTCTTCTTTTCCAACTTGGATTCCTTTTATTTCTTTTTCTTCTCTGATTGCCGTGGCTAGGACTTCCAAAACTATGTTGAGTAATAGTGGTGAGAGTGGACATCCTTGTCTCGTTCCTGATCTTAGAGGAAATGCTTTCAGTTTTTCACCATTGAGAATGATGTTTGCTGTGGTTTGTCGTATATTATGTTGTGGTAGGTTCCCTCTATGCCCACTTTCTGGAGAGTTTTTATCATAAATCGGTGTTGAACTTTGTCAAAAGCTTTTTCTGCATCTATTGAGATGATCATCTGGTTTTTACTCTTCAATTTGTTAATATGGTGTATCACATTGATTGATTTGCATATACTGAAGAATCCTTGCATCCCTGGGATAAATCCCACTTGATCACGGTGTATGATCCTTTTAATATGTTGTTGGATTCTGTTTGCTAGTATTTTGTTGAGGATTTTTGCATCTATATTCATCAGTGGTATTGGTCTGTAATTTTCTTTTTTTGTGGTATCTTTGTCTGGTTTTGGTATCAGGGTGATGGTGGCCTCGTAAAATGAGTTTGGGAGTGTTTCTTCCTCTTCAATTTTTTGGAAGAGTTTGAGAAGGATGCGTGTTAGCTCTTCTCTAAATGTTTGATAGAATTTACCTGTGAAGCCATCTGGTCCTGGACTTTTGTTTGTTGGAAGATTTTTAATCACAGTTTCTATTTCATGACTTGTTATTGGTCTGTTCATATTTTCTATTTCTTCCTGGTTCAGTCTTGGAAGGTTATACCTTTCTGATAATTTGTCCATTTCTTCCAGGTTGTCCATTTTATTGGCATAGCATTGCTTGTAGTAGTCTCTTAGGTTGATTTGTATTTCTGTGGTGTCTGTTGTAACTTCTCCTTTTTCATTTCTAATTTTATTGATTTGAGTCCTCTCCCTCTTTTTCTTGATGAGTCTGGCTAATGATTTATCAATTTTGTTTATCTTCTCAAAGAATCAGCCTTTAGTTTTATTGATCTTTGCTATTTTTTTTTGTTTCTATTTCATTTATTTATGCTCTGATCTTTATGATTTCTTTCCTTCTGCTAACTTTGGGTTTTGTTTGTTCTTCTTTCTCTAGTTCCTTTAGGTGTAAGGTTAGATTGTTTATCTGAGATATTTCTTGTTTCTTGAGGTAGGCTTGTATTGCTATAAAATTCCCTCGTAGAACTGCTTTTGCTGCATCCCATAGATTTTGGATCATCGTGTTTTCATTGTCATTTGTCTCTAGGTATTTTTTTGATTTCCTCTTTGATTTCTTCAGTGATCTCTTGGTTATTTAGTAACATATTGTTTAGCCTCCATGTGTTTCTGTTTTTCACAGTTTTTTCCCTGTAATTGATTTCTAATCTCATAGCGTTGTGGTCAGAAAAGATGCCTGATATGATTTCAATTTTCTTAAATTTACTGAGGCTTGATTTGTGACCCAAGATGTGATCTATCCTGGAGAATGTTCCATGCGCACTTGAGAAGAAAGTGTAATCTGCTGTTTTTGGATGGAATGTCCTATAAATATCAGTTAAATCTATCTGGTCTATTGTGTCTTTTAAAGCTTGGGATTCCTTATTAATTTTCTGTTTGGATGATCTGTCCATTGGTGTAAGTGAGGTGTTAAAGTCCCCCACTATTATTGTGTTACTGTGGATTTCCTCTTTTATAGCTGTTAGCAAATTGCATTATGTATTGAGGTGCTCCTATGTTGGGTGCATATGTATTTATAATTGTTATATCTTCTTAGATTGATCCCTTGATCATTATGTAGTGTCCTTCCTTGTCTCTTGTAACATTCTTTATTTTAAAGTCTATTTTATCTGATATGAGTACTGCTACTCCAGCTTTCTTTTCATTTCCATTTGCATGGAATATCTTTTTCCATCCCCTCACTTTCAGTCTGTATGTGTCCCTAGGTCTGAAGTGGGTCTCTTGTAGACAGCATATATATGGTTCTTATTTTTGTATCCATTCAGCAAGTCTGTGTCTTTTGGTTGGAGCACTTAATCCATTCACGTTTAAGGTAATTATCGATATGTATGTTCCTATGACCATTTTCTTAATTGTTTTGGGTTTGTTTTTGTAGGTCCTTTTCTTCTCTTGTGTTTCCCACTTAGAGAAGTTCCTTTAGCATTTGTTGTAGAGCTGGTTTGGTGGTTGTGAATTCTTTTAGCTTTTGCTCGTCTGTAAAGCTTTTGATTTCTCCATCGAATCTGAATGAGATCCTTGCTGGGTAGGGTAAGCTTGGTTGCAGGTTTTTCCCTTTCATCACTTTAAATATGTCATGCCACTCCCTTCTGGCTTGTAGAGTTTCTGCTGAGAAATCAGCTGTTAACCTTAGGGGAGTCCCCTGTATGTTATTTGTTGTTTTTCCCTTGCTGCTTTCAATAATTTTTCTTTGTCTTTAATTTTTGCCAGTTTGATTACTATGTGTCTTGGTGTGTTTCTCCTTGAGTTTATCCTGTATGGGACTCTCTGCACTTCCTGGACTTGGGTGGCTATTTCCTTTCCCATGTTAGGGAAGTTTTTGACTATAATCTCTTCAGATATTTTCTCGGGTCCTTTCTCTCTTTCTTCTCCTTCTGGGACCCCTATAATGCTAATGTTGTTGCGTTTAATGTTGTCCCAGAGGTCTCTTAGGCTGTCTTCATTTCTTTTCATTCTTTTTTCTTTATTCTTTCTGCAACAGTGAATTCCACCATTCTGTCTTCCAGGTCACTTATCCATTCTTCTGCCTCAGTTATTCTGCTATTGACTCCTTCTAGTGTATTTTTCATTTCAGCTATTGTATTGTTCATCTCTGTTTGTTTATTCTTTAATTCTTCTAGGTCTTTGTTAAACACTTCATGAATCTTCTTGATCTTTGCCTCCATTCTTTTTCTGAGGTCCTGGATCATCTTCACTATCATTATTCTGAATTCTTTTTCTGGAAGGTGGCCTATCTCCACTTCATTTAGTTGTTTTTCTGGGGTTTTATCTTGTTCCTTCATCTGGTACGTAGCCCTCTGCCTTTTCATCTTGTCTATCTTTCTGTGAATGTGGTTTTTGTTCCACAGGCTGCAGGATTGTAGTTCTTCTTGCTTCTGCTGTCTGCCCTCTCCCCGCTTTTTGAATAGGAATGACAATGTTATCCTATGCCTAGTCCACCACTGTATGGTGGGGGAGGGAGGCAGATGACTTTCTCATTTTTTTTTTTTTTTTGTTGACTTTCTCTTTAGTTCACAGGTCTTCAGAAGGTGAGGAATTTCACTGGAGAAACTGTACTTAAGAATATATACTTGAGGGACTTCCCTGGTGACACAGTGGTTAAGAATCTGCCTGCCAGTGCAGGGGACACAGGTTCAATCCCTGGTCCAGGAAGATCCCAAATGCCACGGAGCAACTAAGCCTGTGCACCACAACTCCTGAGCCTGCGCTCTACAGCCTGTGTGCCACAACTACTGAGCCTGCATGCCACAGCTACTGAAGCCCCCGTGCCTCGAGCCTGTGCTCTGCAACAAGAGCAGCCCCCAAAATGAGAAACCCATGCACCACAATGAAGAGTAGCCCCCACTTGCCACAGCTAGAGAAAGCCCGTATGCAGCAATGAAGACCCAATGCAGCCAAAAATTTAAAAAATAAATACATAAATTTAGTAAAAATAAAAAAGAATATATACTTGAGAAACCTTATCTATACCTAGGCCTGATTTAGATGATGAAATTCTGGACTTCAGGCTGATGCTATAATGGGATTAGACTTTGTGGTGCCTTGACAGGGGATGAGTGTATTTGGCATGTGGAAGAAATATGAATTGTTGGGGGCCAGAGGGCATACAGTGGTAGCCAGTCTCCAGAACAGTCCCCAGGGACCCACAGCTCATGGTATTCATGCCCTTGCGTAGTCTCCTCCCAAACTGTATCAGGGTTGGTCTTTGTAACCAATAGACTATGGCAGAAGTGATGGTATATGACTTCTGAAGCTAAAAGACATCTCTCTTTCTCTCTCCCCTTCTCTCCTTCTCTCTGTGTCTCTTCAGCTGCTTTTCTGGGAGAAGTCAGCTGTTATGTCATGAGGACAATTAAGAAACTCTATGGGACTTCCCTGGTGGCACAGTGGTTAAGAATCCGCCTGCCAATGCAGGGCACACAGGTTCGAGCCCTGGTCTGGGAAGATCCCACATGCCACAGAACACCTAAGCCTGTGTACCGTAACTGCTGAGCCTGTGCTCTAGAGCCCACGAGCCACAACTACTGAAGCCCACATGCCTAGAGCCCGTGCTCCACAGCAAGAGAAGCCACTGCAATGAGAGGCCCACGCACCACAATGAAGAGTATCTCCCACTTACCGCAACTAGAGAAAGCCTGAAGACCCAACGCAGCCAAAAATAAATAAATAAATAAATTTATTTTTTTTAAAAAAGAAAAGAAACTCTATGGAGCACTCTACATGGCAATAAACTGAGCTCTCCTGCCACAAGCCAGTGAAAAACAGACCTCCAGACAAGAGCCACGTGAGTGAGTTCCTCCAGCCCCAGTTAAGCTTTCAGATGACTACAGCCCCAGCCAACACCTTGACTGAAACCTCATGAGAGACCTGAGCTAGAACCACCTGACTCTCAGAAATTGTATGAGGTAATAAGTATTTGTTGCCCTAAGCCACTGAGGTAATGATAATGTAGCAATAAATAACTCATATGGTCCACATACTTATTTTCTGAATCCCCAAACTCATAAGCTTATGTAAAGCCAGGAAGTATTCATGATGAACTGACCACTTACAAAATTAGTCCTTATTCATATACATTCCTCCCTTATTAGTACCAGCTACCAACCTCGCCCATCTAATTGGCTGCGGAGTGAAACTCCAAGTGTTGAAAAAGATAGAAGACTGAACCAAGTCCATGGAAGTGCTGTTAGAAAAGTGATCAATCAGCAAAGCAATTAACAAGTAACATTGATGTAGTAAGAAGGGCCACCCACCTGAGATATTTCAGACAGGGGCTAAGCAGGGTTTTAGGGCAAACAGTCGATAGGTGACCCGTTGGCTGCAATCAAAGGTACAGGCATGGCTTATCTTTTCCCACAGCCATCATCTATGCACAGGAGTCATTCCCAATCCCTTTACATCCAGGCTTTTGGAACTCAAAAATCCAAAACTGAGGCTCCAGTATAGTAGAGCCAGCTGAAATTGTGGAAGGAAGTATCAGGACCTTAACATATGTTAACACTGTATTTTACAAGTATTATTCCATCAAAGTGGGACCCAGCTGTGTAATTTTTTTTTTTTTAATATCCTCAAGGTTCTTGTTTATCTATTTATTTTATTATTTATTTATTTATTTATGGCTGCATGGGGTCTTTGTCGCTGCATGCGGGCTTTTCTCTAGCTGCGACAAGCGGGGCTACTCTTCGTTGTGGCACGCGGGCTTCTCATTTTGGGGGATTCTATTGTTGCTGAGCACGGGCTCTCGGTGCACGGGCTTCAGTAGTTGTGGCACGTGGGCTTCGGTAGTTGTGGCTTGCGAGCTGTAGAGCGCAGGCTCAGTAGTTGTGGTGCACGGGCTTCGTTGCTCTGTGGCATGTGCGATCTTCCCAGACCAGGGCTCTAACCCGTGCTGCTGCATTGGCAGGCAGATTCTTAACCACTGAGCCACCAGGGAAGTGCCCCAGCTGTGTAACTTAATTCATTATAAATATTTCTCCTAACTGTCGTGGGAGAAAGGTAGCAGGATATGGGAGGGCAAAGACACTGCTGAATGCTCTGTGGTACATGATGTGTTTCCTCCATTAAACCTTCTGGACCTTTCATAAATGTTATGAAACACTTGATGTGATGTGATCTGATGTGAACCGAATTTTGCATCTAAGTTTATTCAATGACCATTCAGAGACCCCATGTTGGGAGCTGGGATTAGAGGCCAGAGTTATAGTGAGACTGCTAGTCTGAAGACTTCCACAGAAATTTGTGGAACCTGTGGATTTCTCTAGGCCAGGAAAATTTGCATTCCCACCAGTGGGGAAATACACAAAGATCGCCCAAATGAGAGCAAACAGAGGCTGTTTACTCAGAGCTTACTATGTGGCAAGGGAGTCAGCCACTATCACTTGTGTGTGGCAGGCGGGGTAGTTCAAAACCTTCACAATGGGAAAAAGGGATGGCTTCAGGTATTTCCTGATTGGAGGCTGTTGGCCTTGCAAAGGCTGTAGGCCCACAGCTAACTAGAAGTGGGGCATCCTATGTGATTGGTTAGGGGGCCTGTATGTCTCTCTCTGGTTGGTCCTAAATTGGAAGCAGGGGCAAAAATTAGGGAAGCTGGTGGTTATTGACCAGGTTCTGACCATGTGGGGCCAATTACTGCAGAGGTTGTGGGTTGGCTTTCTAGACTGTTGCTTCAGAGGTGTGGTTTAATGTCTCTGGCTGGTTGCTCCAGTGGTCGTGGCTCTGTTTCTTTATGTGATTCTGGCCATTGTCCTTCTGTAGATTCAGTCTCTCACTAGCAACGCATGAGAGTTCCAGTTGCTGTGCATCTTCACCAGTACAGCTTAGGGGAGATGGGGTGACTTGTGGCAGGGGAGTGTCGGCCATTCTAGTAGGTGTATAGACGCATGCCATTGTGCTTGTAATTTACATTTTGCTGATGACTAATTATACTGAGCATCTGTTCATGTCCTTATTTGACACTTGTATATCTTTTTTGGGGAAGTATCTTTTCAAACTTTTGCCCATGTTTTATTGAGTTTCTTGTTTTCTCATTGTTGTTCTGGGAGTAATTTATATATTCTAGATATAAGACCTTTATAAGGTATGTGATTTGCAAATACTTTCTCCCAACAAGCAAGGTCTCAGGAAGTGAGGGTGTCTTTTCATCTCTTAACAGTGTTTTCAGCAGAGAAGAAGTTTTTAATTATGAGGAGGTAAACTTTATTTTTCTCTTTTACAGATTGTGTTTGCCTGTGTCTAACAAAAGGTCATAAAGATTCTCTCCTATGTTTTCTTCTAGAAGTTTTACTTTTTCCCTTTTTTTTTTTTTTGGCCACACCACGTGGCTTGCAGGATCTTAGTTCCCTGACCAGGGATTGAACCTGGGCCCATGGCAGTGAAAGTGCCAAGTCCTAACCACTGGACCACCAGGGAACTCCCATTTTTTCACATTTTATATTTAGGTCTGTGATCTATTCCAAGTTAATTTTTGTATGAAGTGTGAGGAATGAGCCAAGGTTGATTTTTTTTTTTTTTGCCTGTGGATTGCATATGGAAATGGTGTTTTAGCACCTCTTCTTGAAAAGTACTTTTTTTCTCAATTGAATTGCCTTTGCATCTTTGCCAAAACTCAGCTAACCATATTTGTGTCTATTTTTGGACAACCTACTTTATTCTATGATCTTATCTTTCAGCCAATACCACACTGACTTGCTATTGCAGCTTAATAGAAAGTCTTGAAATCAAGTAGCCTGAGTCTTGAAACTTTGTTCTTCATTCCCAAAACTTTTAGCTATTCTATTTCCTTTTGCCTTTTGCTATACATTTTAGAATCTGCTTATTGATACTGACAAAAATTACTAACAAAAATTTCTGCTGTTGATTTTAATTGGGATTGCGATCTATAGATATATTGAGGAGAATTGATATTTAACATTATTGAGTCTTCCAATCCATGAACAAAGTATATCTCTCCATTTATTTGGTCTGTTTTGATTTCTTTCATTAGTATTCTGTAGATTCCAGCATAGAGATCATGTACATGTTTTGTTAGATTTATACCTACTAAGTATTTCTTTTTTCTGGTGTGGTTGCAAATTGTTCCTTCTTATTTCACATTCCAATTGTCATTGCTACTATATAGAAATACGATTAACTTTTGTATATTGATCATGCATTGTGCAGTCTTGAAAAGCATACTTATTAGTTGTGGGAGCTTTTTTGTAGATTCTTTGAATTTTCTATGTAGATAATCATATCAAATGGAAATGAGGACAATTTTATTTCTTCCTTTCCAATCAGTGTATCTTTTATTTATTTTCTTGCATTACTGCACTGGCTAAAACTTCCAGTGATGTTGAATAGTTGCCATGAGAATGGACAACTTTCCCTTGTGCCTGATGTTGGGGAAAAGCATTCAGTATTTCATGATTAAATATGACGTGAGTCGTAGGTTTTCAACTTCATCGGGTTGAGGAAGTTCCCTTCTATTCATATTTTGCTGACAGTTATCATGAATGGATATCGTCACATGCCTTTTCTTCATGTATTGAGATGATCACACGAATTTTTTTCTTTACTCTGTTAAGATGGTAAATTTCATTGATTGATTTTCAACCATATATACCAGACTTGCATTGCCAGGATGAACTCCTCTTGTGTGTGATTATTACATTTTTTACATGCTGCTTAATTC